GGGGCTTTTCCACCAGTACTTTTACGGGCAGTCTGCTTAGTACGAGCCATAGTTAAACGAACGTCTTCACTGTAGTAGCGAAAATATCTGAATGAGCTGGGTTTTCATAAGCCATCGAATTTCTACGGACGTGGCGGGCGAAAATTTTTTTGTGATTGGTGGAGGTAAACGGCCAGTGGGAGGAGCCACACATTTGCGCGGATAGGAAAGGAAAGTTCCAAATCTAAACTTACATTCCCTGAGTATACTTACGGTAGTAAACATGTCAGACGATACCCCTGCTGTTGCCGCTACACCTGCCGCTTCTACGCCTAAGAAAAAGGCTAAAAGTGCAGCGAAAAAAACGAAAACCGTTCCCTCACATCCTAAAGTGGCTGATATGGTTAATGATGCTATTCAGAGTTTGAAAGAGCGAGGAGGATCATCCTTACAAGCGATCAAGAAGCATATGAGCTCCCATCATAAGGTAGATATGGATCGTTTGACTCCTTTCATTAAAAATACTTGAAGACTGCAGTAGCGAATGGAACTTTGATCCAGACAAAAGGAAAAGGCGCCAGCGGCTCTTTTAAGCTAAGTGCTTCGGCCAGAAGACCAAGGAACCGAGCAAGGCCAAAAAGGCTAAGAAAGAAGGCGCTTCTCCAGCTAAGAAAGCAAAGGTAACGACCAAAAAAGCTTCCAAACCTAAAACTGTGAAGACTGCAGAGAAGAAGAAACCTGCAGCAAAAAAACCGGCTGCAAAAAAACCAGCTAAGCCTAAAAGCCCGAAGAAAGCTGCAAAAGCCACCAAACCCAAGGCTCCCAAAGTTAAAAAAATGAAAACTCCAAGAAGGCTACTCCAAAGAAAGCTACAAAAAAATAAACGAATTGGAACGGATAATAAAAAAAAAAAAGGCTCTTTTCAGAGCCAAACATATATTTGAAGGGAATGCAATATTCGCAATGTTATAATTCTTAGATTGTTTTCCATGAAGATATGATTTACTTTCAATCAAATTTACACGTGTAACACATGCATGCTGTAATAATATCATCTAAACATTAACCCCCCCCCTCACCCCCAATAAAAAGGATTAAACAATAATAATAACAATAAAAATATTAATAACAAAAATAATATAATTAAGTAGGGCCTTTTTGTGAAATTTTTATTATAATTCCATTTTGAAAACTTAGATTTTAACACAGGACTTCTAAGAAATTGAAAAAAAAGGAAAATTCAAATTTGAATACTTCAAGTGTTTGAAGAGAACAGAATGAAATTCTTGAACAGAGCTATACCAATTTAAAGGGAAATATACAGATATACACTATGTCATAATATACATATGTAAACAGCATGGGGAAATAACCTTTCTTTATATTTGTTTGGCCCTGAAAAGGGCCTTTTTTTAGGATCAGGTAGGAGACATTTTTTTTAACCTCCAAAACCGTACAGGGTACGACCCTGTCGTTTCAGAGCATAGACGACATCCATGGCAGTTACAGTTTTACGTTTAGCGTGCTCAGTATAAGTTACAGGCATCTCTGATGACATTTTCCAAGAAAACTTGAGCACACCACGAGTTTCTTCATAGATGAGACCGGAGATACGTTTAACACCACCACGTCTAGCCAAACGCCTAATGGCAGGCTTAGTGATACCTTGGATGTTATCTCGCAAAACTTTACGATGCCTCTTGCACCCCCCTTTCCTAAACCTTTGCCTCCTTTTCCTCTTCCTGACATGACTATTTTCTACAAGATATTGTTTGCAAATAAAAGAAGTTCGACCGTTTGGAAGTTTTATGCACTGCACTTGGCGTCAGAAAGTTTCTGATTGGCTGAATCCCAGATTACTGTCGTACGCAGCAACAAATGTCATTGTGAAATAATAAAAGTCATTACTTTTCTAATAGAAACCCTTTATTATCCCCCCATCTCCCTTTGTTCCTCCCCCGCAGGGAATTATTACTACATAAACGTGTAAAAAAAGAAAGAAAAAAAATGTAATATTTTCATCCATCTAGGAGTAAGAAGGCGGGGTTACTACGAATGAATTCTGGGTTTACCATTG